AACAAATCTTGAATCAACTTGAAGATTATAAAGACTCTTCAGTACTGCCCACAGAATTTGCTAAAAAGCTAGTGGAGCAGTTGGCAAATGTGGAACAGTCGTTAGGGCTACCTGCACATTGGACGTTAGCTAAAGTTCGACACCGATGGTATTACCGCTACAAAAAATTGAAGAAAGTATGTGTAAAAAATTTTTTATAATACAGTATCTTAGAGCAATTCTAAATAATATTACCCTCTTTTTTAGTCCCAGCCGGAACTTGTACAAATCGACGCTCCCATGGAAGATACTTGAATTTTGACGCGCTCTAAGAACAAAAGAATAGTATACTTATATTACATCTATTATTTAGAAAGAGGAATCAAAGATTAGCTTAGTCATAAAGAAATTAAACCCGGTAACAATTTAATATATGAGAAAGTGGTTCAAATAGTTGAAGATTCATTAATTAGAACAAAAATCTTTGGAATGCCAGATCTCTAGTGTTATTAATTCGGTCTGAAGCTTGCTTTAGTGACCGTATTTCACATTATACCGGCTAGTTTTCTTGAAATAACAATAAATATTAGTAAAATATTAAATAAAAATATATAAAAAAAAAAATACAATTATTTTAACAAAAAAAGGATACGTTAAACTTCACTCTTTCACAAAATGTTGTAGAGATCGTCAAGTTAAACAAGTCTAGTTACTGGGAACAGCTCAAAAAAATGTAGTTTGTTGTAGAGATCGTCAAGTTAAACAAGTCTAGTTACCGGGAACAGCTCAAAAATAAATGTAGTTAGCTGTAAACTAAGTAACGCGAATTAAGTAAATGAACCGATCTACTTAAAAAATTATATGAAATATTTCTTCTTATTTTTTATACTGTACCACCTTATGATCCAATGCATTTTCGAAAGCTTTCGTGTTGGCGCATCTTATGATCTACTTTTTAAGCGAAAATTTCTTAAACCCGAAAAACATCAAGCGCCTAAAGGCAAAATGATTGACCAACTTTGAAGACATAGTACTTCAGGCAGAGACATTCGTTTCTTATATTTTCTATACTAATCGATTCGTGTAAGCTTCAAGAATAATTTTGTCTTAGAAAGCATTATGTATTACAACTAAGACTTTAGACGAAACTTTAAAAAAAGTACCTTGATCATTTTGTGTAACCTACGAAAATCATATGATAAAATTTTAGATGTGACAAATCGTGTGACTGATAGGTCAAATTTGTTTCGATTGGTTGTTTATTTCTATTGTAAAATACTGTTATACAGTTTTTTTTTATATTGTTTACAATGCGTAGAATGTCTTGACTAAAATATGAAAAATTTTATTTTTCTGATTAAAGCAATTTTTCATATTGGCGCTTAAGATCCTGTTGTTCCACCAACTTATCTTAGCGAATTTGTCAGTATAGATATGTAAATTATAGTTATTACACATTGGACCGTTCCAAACATTATTATTTCCAGTAATGAACTGGACCATTCTAGCCTCAACTAACAATTGGACCTGACACAGTAGATTGGAACAAAATTGAATTTTAAAACTCCAGTGCCCAACACTGATTCCGACAATGGCAACAATCTAGTACGATATTAATACAGTATTATCAGTGCTGTATTGGCAAATGGGAACAGGCAAAATTTCTCAATGGAGCATGAAATTGCCAACCCTCGTTAGCAAAACATTCATTTTTGATACACCTGCACCTACTTTTTGATACTGATCGACATGCAGATCCCGGTAAAAAAATAAAAATTTTAAAAACTTTGAGCGATGATATGACGACAACTACCTGCTTGAATCTGATAAAACTTTAGATT